GAATGCCTACTGAGTAGTATCTCAAACTATGATTCTAAGAAATGCTCCAACTATGATTCTGTGAAATGAACTACAGATGTTCTCACTCTTATGTTCATTAGTAAATTGCAATATTATTACTAAGTTAATGGCATTTTGGATAGGGACAAAGCTGCTCATACATGAAATTGCAAACTGCTTGTACACTAAAAACCCTTAGTCATACACCAACAAAAGAAAATAACTGTGAGCAAGCAAGAACATTACCTGCGCCAGCAACCTCTGTATCAAACAAGGAAGATTCGGAGACAGCAGCAGCAGACCTTGTACACAAAGGTCTTGGAGTCTAAAATTTCTAAGGTGTTTTTTGGTTTGTTTTTTTTAGGGGGGGGTTTGTTTTGTTTTGTTTTCTTAAAACATTGTTGAGGGTTCTGCAGCTAGCCTTTTAGACCCTAAACTAGGACAGTGAAAGAGGACTGTCTATCTCTGTACAGATCCTAACTGAGTTTATACAACTTGAATTCATCTAACTGAATTTGTACAATTTGAATTCATCACATGTAAGCACAGAGATGCTGCTGAAATGGATAATGTAGTAATTGAACAAGCTACCACACTTACACCTGGACAGGAGCAGCCAACAAAACTGTTTGTGGCTTTCAGAGTTAGACAGATCTCTTTGACACAGTTCTTCATTTAACAAAACTGTTTGTGGCTTTCAGAGTTAGACAGATCTCTTTGACACAGTTCTTCATTTAGAATTATGATAGCTAAATATGGAATCAGAGTGGCATGTAATGGATGTACAACACAGTAAACATTCTTCTGCCTGAGCAACTTCCTCTACACAAAGTCCAAGTTCATAGGTGCAAAGGAAAAAATTTTCTGTAGCTTGGAAGGACAACTATTGAGCACATTCAGTATAAGAAGGATTGGAAGATACTTGGAGAGTCTGAAGTGGGCAGCCTTAATTGGCTCAGACTCAAGAGGAAAGAAAAGGCTAGCCACCAAAACCAAGGGAAGTGGTTTGGCAGTCCATAATCATCAGAGGCCACACTCCATATGCCTAGAAACGTGTGAGAAAAGGCACACTGTAAAAATTAGAAAAAAGGAAAAAGAGGGATTCTGACCACTTGGAAGTATCTAATGATCAGTTATGTCTCAGCATGGAAATTGCAAAGAATACGCTGGTGATCCAGCTGGTCAAAGGAACAGAGAGCTTAAATGAGACGTATTTGCAGATAACCACTATGCTGAACCTACAAGACAGCTAAGCTATCCAAAAGAGGCATCCAAAGGCAACTGATCTTTCTTGATGATTCTCTGCATTGGAAGGAAAGAGAATTTTTCAAGGAACAAGAGGACTGAACTGTTTCACAAGAAGCAAAATATGAACTGCAAGTGCAAGATGGGATAGATAGGTGCAGTCTGAAGGACAGATTCCACTACGATGGTATGTATTGGCACTAAGAGCATTTATTAATGCAAACCCCCGAAGATTGTAAGTTACTTTGGGGGGAATAAAAGAGAAACAAATCCTTCCTTAGACCAAAATTTCCAACAGAGATATCTTAGAAGTGAACAGAATTCTCTAGACAAGAAAGAAGATTCCAGTTTTCTGAACTATTAGCCAACTCTCTGCGAGAGAGTGCCTACATAGTCTGAAGATTCCCTACTGCAAGGCAGAGAAACAGTTTTTGAGGAGGAGGTCAGCTAAGATTGAAGTGGGTGTGCAAATAATACAAAAATGAGTCAAAGGGAACAAAAAAGCTTTTATTTGATATAAGAACAAGACAGTAAACACAGAATTAATCAAGGCATAAAAAAATGAAGACAAATTGTAGAAAGGTCTTAAGAGTGAAGTTAAGCACTTGGACAGTAGGCTAAGAGGGACTTGCTCATTTATTAAGACAAATCTGATTTATATGTTGTTTCTAAAATCTGATGGGAAGATTCTCTTGATTAGAGAGTGGGTGTTTCCAACACTGGGAAAAAAGGGCACACAAAAGGCATGTGAGAATTAAAAAAGCAAACCCAAAATCTCTGATGAATCTGAAGTAAAATACTAAAAGTTTATGGAACAATGAAGAAATAACTACTGAACAGTTGGAGTCTCTTACGAGCCACCAAACCAGCCTAAATGAAGATGGCCAGTTTTATAAATGCCTATCAGTAGTGTACGGGAAAGAAAACTTCAATCCTGTGGGAGACATCATATGTGCTTCAGCTTATTGTTTGGGAACGTTTAACAGGAGGCTGTTTTCCTTGAACGCAGTGATTTCTCTATATCTAAATCTTGTAAAGAAAAAGCTTAAATAAATTTTTACTGAATTTTTGCAATCACATTTCAAATGTTCATCTGTCAGTCAAAATAATTTGTCATGCCAATATTCCATGCAAGTACAGAATAATTTTAAAGGGCAGAATTCAAACCAAGCCATATTTTCCTTTGCGAGATCTTCTAAGTTGAAGATTTTCTGTAAGAATCAGAATAGAAATTGATACAGTTTCCAAAGTGCAGAAACTTCAAATAAGTGTACACAAAGGCATGTCATTCTCAAGTTTATTTTGGTACTTCTGTCCTGTCTGTTGCAAGCTAACTAACTAATGAATGCTGCAAACCATACCACTTGTACAAATATTCTGTATGGCAAGCAACTCTCAAGATCACTGCTGATGCTTGATTAGTGTGCTATCCATAAACACTTTTTTTGATGCTAACTACTCTGACACAAGGAGCCACATTTGTATCAAATGAAAAAGTTGGCTGATAGACAGAGATAGCCTAAGACAGGTTTTAACTCCAACTAGATCCACTCAACAAGAGATTTGCATTTCAAAGCATCTTCACACATCCAAGGCTAACACTGTAACCAAATACTTTCACTCACAGGGAAGGTATAAGTCAATATTTCACATTAATTCATTATCGAGAATAAGAATTATGAGGAATATCTAGGTATTGGTGGAGTCTCAGTGAGCAAGGAGGCACATAAGGAAAGGATTTACCCAAGCTGAAGATAATGTTTGGGAAGACAATGCCTGGAGAATATGATCTCTTCAAGAAATATGCACAGGGTCTAACAGCTGCCAAAACTAGTTGTTCAGCCTAACTACTGGCTGAAGGGAAGACATCCTGAAATTAAGATATGTTATCAGCTAGATTACTACTTCCCCATATCTGTCTCCAAGTCTGATGCCTAAACCTTACATTTTATTATATGAAATTTGTTTTTATTTTCTTTAAATGTTATCTGATACTAAGAAGTGATTCAATTCACACAAATTAACCCATCAATTGCAATTACACTTCAAGATTCATGAAAGCTAGCAGGTCATTCAGGACAACCTCCTTCAAACGCAAGGACTGTTCATCCCAAAACTCAGGAATACAAGTAGAAGACCAGCCTGGTTAAACAGGGAATACAGGACTGAGCTCCAAGGCAAACAGGCAGTATATGGGAGGTGTCAGCAGGGATGGGCTACAAACATTTATTTCCCTGACACATATGCTTGGTTTCAGGAAAAACAAAAATTCACTAGCTACAAAGTTGGTTATTTCTAAATATGCATGTACAAATAACTTCTAATTTTCAGGACTGAAAGAGCTGTGTAAGATGCTCTAAGCTGTGAATGCTAATGTTGAACAACGTCCATAACTCCTACAACATATTCAAAAATGAAAGAAAGCTGGCACTGTGCTAAAGTTTTAAAAGCATAGATGGAATAACCCAGCAAAATCATAGGCTTTGTAAGCTGTTATTAAACATGGACAAAACAACCAAAAACAGATCTGACCAACAACAAGCAACAAAAGGCCCTTAACGGTCAAATGCCAGAGGTATTTTTTAAGCATTTGACTACCTTAACCATGTAAGTAGCTACTTTCAAATTACTTAACCACTTAATATAATGGGGGGTTTTGTATAGTTTTGAACTGAGGTCTAAATATGCTACAGAACACAGAAGCTTCACCTTTCACTATAATGAAATCTACTAGCTTATGAAGGTTTTTTGTTAAATACTGTTTTAGCATCAGGAATAATGTAGCCATTTAGTTTACTTAAGATTTCTTTTTTTTTTTTTACAGAAGTAGTGAAGTAACGTTAGTCAGGAGAACAACTGTCATAATCCATCGCTCCCTGGCATTATAATATATACTTGCAATACTTACTTTTAATGCATCTTTGACTGCAGTCCTGCCTTCCTTTCCAAGGAAAACATTATAGGGGTAAAGCCGTTCAATAACATGCTGGACTGACATCATGGGAAAGGAATCCTAATTCAAATTAAAAAATACGAATTAAAAAAAATTATTGGCTCATTCTATCACCAGCCATTAACCTCAAAATCCTATATAGCACTGAACTTAAAATAAAATTGTAACAGCAATATACAAATGACCACTACATGCAGTATTCGATCAAATGTCAAAACAGGCATTTCTAAGGTGCAATGCATTATAATATAAATGTCTAAGTAGATCAGAAGAACTATGTCCTAAAAATTACTTTCTTTCCTGAGCATAAATGGTAGCTACAGTGACTGGCTCAGATACCTAAAGACATTTAAGGTTAGGAGAGACAAATCCCACCACAGGTAACTGAGTTTCATAGTACTACCAGAAAAGAATCGATATGATAAGAAATCTATATTAGAATAATATCTACTCATTCACAGCAATTTCTAGTATTTAAATTTGATTCTATTACATTGTACAGATTCTACTTAACAAATCAATTCCTAGAGATTTCTGAAGAGTTTCATCAAAACTGTTTTGTTTTGAAATGAGTTACTAAGTATGCTTGCACTTTCTACACAACATTGAAAACAACTTTTTTTTTCTTTACTATCTCCTTGTTAGTTGTAAGTATTAATTCTTTTGTCAGTTGCTGCCTGAACTAGACAAAGATTCAATTATTTTGCCACAGTAGTACAGAAAGAAATGGGAATACCATTATGAATACTCAAGAAACATATGCATAAAGCCTTTCATGGTGGAAAAAAGTGTTTGAAAAACCCTCAAGTAATGCTTGATTGATTGTTTCAAAAAAGACTTGCAAATTTTTAAGGACTAGCTGTGTGTAACACTGGCGAAAAACAGTCAGTGGACTGGCACTACTTTTTTAAGCCTTCAAAGTAAGTAAAAAGTAAATAACATAATTCAAATAAAATCAACTGATTTTCAGTTATACACTTGGATTTACATAGGCACCCAACTGAAAAAAAGAGTTGCTTAGAAATGAAATCAGGAGATGCATATTTTATGAAATGCGTAATTCAATTCATACTTATAATCAGTAATACTATTTATAATGTTCCATATTAAAAAAAGATCAGTAAAAATAAACCATTTGAGGCACTGTAGTAAATGTACTGCTTAAAGGATCAGGGAGCCCTTTATTGCATTTTAAAAGCCCTCTGTCTATATATAAAGACATAACATATAATTTGTCCACATTATCTCAAATTAATAATAATTACAATGGCTTGTATGAAATTAGCCTCTTCAGAACAGCACCCTATAAAAAAACTCTCCCTTTCAGTGGGCAGGACTTTTCAACCTGAGAAATACATTTTGGGACTATGTGAATCCATGATACAAGATAAGAAGCTAGTCATTACAATGCATTCCCTCCACACTTTTAAACGATTAAATCAACCAAGCTAGAAGATGGCAGTGACCCAGCATCTGAAGGAAAAATGCTGTAGCTAGAACAACTGAGAACAGTCGGCTTAGAAAACCAAGTGATTAAAACTAATTCTAAAAGAAACAGTTGTCGTCTACCTAAAAAAGACACTGTCATACAATGATAACAATTCACATTCTCTAATGTAAAATAAAATGCTTCCTTCATTCCATAGTTTAGATAATAGCTTAGGGCTCATTTTCCTTCCATTACTCTGAAAGCCATCTGGCATTCATTTAAAAATAATTTTTCACTACAGGGCTCAAAGAATAAAAAGTTGTAATTTATTTTAAAATCCGACATGTATTTCTTTCCTAAAGCCCTCTGAATACCGTTTCATTTCTCTGAACTTGAATTTTAATCACTTCTTAACATCTGATGTAGTATCACTAGTTCAGAAAAAAATTATGTTTGTAAGTAAGCAGCACAACTGAGGGGACTGAGCACACAGTAGCACAAGTAATTGGTATGTTTGGATGTATATAAGCCAATAAAATACGTAAAAGTAATCTGCCACTGAGCAGTACCTAGGTAAAATGATTGCACAGGACACACAACAGGGAATTATCCTTTCTACACACACTTGCACCTTGGAGAGAGGGTTTGAGAAGCTGTCCTGGTGTTCTACCTTGCTGGGTTGACCATATCTTCCTGCATGCAAAAGGGTACCAACCCCTCCCTCTCTTTATACAGACTTCATCACCCTGACTTCCTTCAGGAGGCACCTTCTGTTCTTATTTTAACTTTTTACCACATAATTATAAAGTCCAAGGGACAAAAGCCTGTCAGAGAAAGCAGAAAGACTGACACAGCTTTAGTCCTGACCTGCTTGATCTGCCACTGTGAACTCGGCAA